AGAGAGAAAGAAAGTAAGAAAGACACAGAGAGAGAGGGGGCAAGGAAAGAGCGAGGAGCAATGAGGGAGAGAAAGAGAGCAAGAGAGAGAGAGAGAGAGAGCAAGAAAGAACGCGCGAGAGCGAGAGAGAGGGTGCTCCCATTTCTTCAATGTGGAAATACAAGCTGTTTTGTCCAGCCGCTGGTGGAACGAGCTGAAACTCTGCGCTCGAGGCTAAACACTAACACACCGAGCGAGTATAAGCTCTCTAACTTATAACTAGAATTGGCCGTACTCTGGGTTTTCACGTGAAAGCTAGTCGCCATAGAATTAGCTGTAGTAAAACAGCCTCAACATCCGTATAGAGGTAGAACTACTATAGAACTACCATAGAACGCACCGATACAAAGGTCGGTAGTTATGATGGATCTGGGTGCTATACCGCCAGTATGGAATCCCAGCCTCCTGTGTTCGATATCTTGCATTCATTCTCCGCTGGGTGAGTTTAGAGTGTGGGTATACAGAATAACATGCGTGCCGGAGGCAGATTCATGTTATACGTGGAAACCGGAGTGAATAAAAAAACAAATTTCATGTTATTCATGCCCGATGTAAAGCCTTTCAGTTGTTATATAATCGTGGGCCTCCATCATGCATGCATAAGAAGCAATCAGGCCTTTCGTTTGATTTCGGTTGTGTTCACGCCTGCTTTTACCTTGCAATTTCACCGCGTGCTTTTTACTTTTGCTTTCGCCGTGGAATTGGCTGCATTTTGCATGGCAACAAGTCGCACCAACCTTATTCACCAAGATCAGCTGCCACTCTGCTCGCCGTGCATTTTGATAATCTGCTATGATTGATTGATTGATTGATTGATTGATTGACCCGCGGCATCTGACATGGAGAGACACGTGTCTGGACATGTGTAGATGTACATCTACAGTGGCCAAAACAGATGCATTATCTTATCTTGATCTTATCTATCTATAAGTAACTAATACTATCATAGGCTTTACGACTCTACGGGGAGCAAGGGGAAAAAACCCCGTGCAGCGCAAAGACCCGTGTTATGTGTGGAGTAAGAGGTCGGGTGGCCTGATCGGCGGCTGTGTATAGTTCCCCCCCCCCTCTCTCTCTCTCTCTCTCTCTCTCTCTCTCTCTCCTCTCTCTCTTCTCTCTCTCTCTCTTTCTTTCTCTCGCTCTCTCTCT